TATTATATACCAGAAACTGTTAGAAATACTGGGGATAGAATGGTCATGATGAAAAAGATTGCAAATTACAAATGTTAGGTACATTACATTTTAGTAATCTTTAAACAAATAAATTAATATGTACGTGACATAATCTCAGGGGCCATAAAAAAAAAAATACAAGAGGTTAGAAAGTGGTAAAAGTGATAGTAGAAGGTATACTTTTTTTTTTTTAAGGTATGGTGGTTAGGGAAGGCTTCTTTGAGGAAATAACATTTGAGCCAAGACTGAATTAAGGAAAGAAATGTACTGTGCAAATACTGAGCAGAGTAAGCAAGGTATAGGATAGAAGATACAGTCATGAGTGAGAGTTTGGAAGTCTTTCTCAGTGCAATGGGGGAGCTACTTGAGGGTTTTTTTTTTCTTTTTTCTATTTTTTTTTAAGCAATAGAATACTATAATCTGATTTATATTTTTAGAAGATCAACTTGGTGCTATATAGAGAATAGATAGAAAGGATGAGTAGAGGCAGAGGGTCTATAGTTAGAAGGGTGTAATTGGAGTCTAAAAAAGAGATGATCCTGGAGGTAGGAAAAGAATCAGTTTCTTGTTCTAGTGGTAATAGAATAACTTGTATCAGAAGGACTTTTGTGCAGAGAATAACTATAAATTTGAATAAAATACATGAAGCAACAAATTTAAGGCATAAGGAAACAACGAAGGCAGAGAACTTAAGGGCCAGGATCACGAAGAGAAGGATGGTACATGAGGTGAGCCCCACATTCATCTTGGCTTTAGCCTAGGGTCATTTGTCTATTCACATTGTCTGCCTAACCTGCGACCTTCTGATTTCAAGATTATTCCTTTTAAGCACCAAAGGGGGCAAAAAAAAGCTTCATCTTCTCTGCTGCACTCTTTTTAATAAGAGGATTTGTTCTGTAAAATTTAGATTCAGTCAAAAGGCCGCATTTAAGGACCCGGAAGGCCACGTGTGGCCTTAAGGCCGCAGGTTCCCCAGCCCTGGAAGCAGAAAGTGGTGGAGATGGGGGGTGATTGTTTTCATTTCCCTGGGCTAGAGAAATAGGAGTTGGAGCTTGGAACTGCCAGTAAACTGCAGACAGATGTGCCTGAAGTCATGTAAGCAGTTTTCATGTGAAGTGGTTGCCAAGTCTTGGTCTTCTGTAGCACAGCGCAGAAGTCCCATGAACCAAGCCAAAAGCAGCAGGTAAGAGGTAAAACAGGTAACTGAAGATTTCACAGTCTTGTTCGGGAGAAACAGAGGTTAGAGTTCAAGAGCAAACAAGGTGGAGGGGCCCTGTAAACACTCCAGGCTTTCATTTGAGACCTCAGAAAGATTGTACCTTGAGAGTAAGGGAAATTCAGATGATCAATGCAAAAGAGGCCTAAAAGTGGTACCCTAAATGATACGAAGTGATTTTCTAGTATTCTGTTTGCCTACCAGAAGAAAAAATGAATCCACTCTGGAGAAAGATAGCATAAGAGTTGCTATAAATTTTCATACATAATATTCAGTATTTAATAAAAAATCATCAGGCATATCAAGAAACAGGATCAAATTACTGAAATCAAGAAAAATAAAAAAGAAGTGAAACAAACCTATGGATGATATAGATCATTGACTTTTGAGGTTCAAGAAAGAAGTAAAGATGAATATTACTAGAGAATTAGAATATATAAAATTACTAGAGAACTGAAATATATTTGAAAAATCAGAGAAAACTGCAAAATATATATTCTTATCAAACACACAGAGGACTTATATAAAAATTGACCATTTGCTGAGCCATAATTGATGACATTGAATTTTCAAAGGATTGAAATTATATAAGGTGGGTTCTCTAACCACAGTAAAATTAAGCTAGAATCAAAAACAAAAAATAACTAGAAAATGCTTATATGAGTGAAATTGACAATAACTCAGGAATCAAAAAAGAAATCACAATCACAATTGAAAAATATTTTTGGAAAGTAATAATAATGAAAATACAACATATAAAAACTTGTGCTTAGAGGAAAATAGGCTTAAATAGGCTTCTATGTATTTTTTTTAAAAAGAATAAAGGCTGGAAATCAATGATCAAAGCTTTAATTACAAAAGCTATAAAAAAGTAATAAATTAAACTCACAATAGAAGGAAAGAATTAATGAAGAGTAAAAATTCAATCAACCTGAAACAAATGTACATTAGAAAAAAAAGTAAAAGTTGGTGTTTTTTGAAAAGATTAATACAATTGATAAGCTTCTAGCAAGACTGTTCAAGCAGAAAAAAGAGACTCTAAATTATCAATATCAGGAATGAAGAAGAGGCCAACCCCATATACTCTACATTAAAAATCCTAAAAGTGGATATATTTCACACCTATAAATTGGAAAATTTAAAAAAATTGAATCTATAGTTAAAATTTTTCCCCTTGCAGGCTCATTTTTGAATTGGGTTATCTTTTCTTACGAGTTTTTAATGATTCTTTTATGGATGAGATATTTATTGTCAGATATATAATTTAAATATCTTTGTCCACTTCTGTGATTTGTCTTTTCACTGTCGTAAATGATGACAGTTCATCCCCTGAAATAGGAAGAAAAGTAGAAAGTATGGGTATTAATGCAATTAAGTTGGTCAGTTTGGTGGAGGGATGATGAATTTCTTCTCTTTAATTGTGTCTATTTTTTGTTTCTGCATATAGTAAAGTAGGGATAGTATTGTAACTTAACTCACAATTCTTAGGAGGATTACCTATCTTAACGTATATATATCTCTTAAAACAGGGCCTAGCACATATTAATGACATTCTCAAGAAGTGTTGACTACTTGTACTAATTTATTTTTTTCAAAAACTTTCAGTGGTTTACCATTATCATCTGATAAGATCTAAATTCCATAACCTAGTTTTCCATTTTCCCACTTCTTGGCCCCAATAACCTTTATAAGTCTGTTTGTCTTCTGTTCTAGTGAAAGTTTTTGTTGTAAGAAAAGAAACCATTAAAATTAGCACAGTTTATTATCACAATGTAGCAGGATTCTTGCACACATCCAAGGACAGGAAACTAAGCACAGCCCAATTTTGTATGGATTGAAATTAATAAATCAGGAAGCAGGACTTTCCCCACGTTTCTTATCTAACAACAGCACAGTCTCTTGTGCCTAATTTCCTTTGGAGAGCAACTTTCCCTGATTCTGTATTGGTGAAATTGTAGCCTTTTGATTCAAGATGCCCCTATCTTTCTGTATCTTCTAGATGAAATTTCAAGAGAGAATTTTGAGACTACTGGCCAGCCAGTGGCGTGCCTTTTTCTTCCTCTGTTCCAATCAGCTGCAGCTAATCTAGACTTACTCAGAAGGGATTATCGATTGAGCATAGGGCATGTTAAAAGGGAGTGTTGAAAAAGACAGTCTATGAAAAAGACACCTGCACCCAAATGTTTATAGCAGCACAATTCACAATTGCAAAGATGTGAAAACAACCCAAGTGTCCATCAATACATGAGTGGATTAATAAAATGTGGTATATGTATACCATGGAGTACTATTCAGCTTTAAGAAACAGTAGTGATATAGCACCTCTTGTATACTCCTGGATAGAGCTGAAACACATTCTACTAAGTGAAGTATCCCAAGAATGGAAAAACAAGCATCACATGTACTCACCATCAAATTGGTATTAACTGATCAACACCTAAGTGCACATATAAGAATAACATTTATTGGACGTTGGGCAGTAGGGAGGGGAGAGGAGGGTACGGGTATATGCATACACAAAGAGTGCGATGTGCACCATCCAAGGGATGGACAGGCTTGAAGCTCGGACTTGGGAGGGGAGGAGGGCAAGGGCAACATACGTAACCTAAACATCTGTACCCCCCATAATATGCTGAAATAAAAAAAAAAATCAGAAAAAAAAAAAGGGAGCGTTGAGCTTGATAGGCAAGTTGACTGCCATGCCAACTACACCCATATCATTCATTTTTTTCCCAGCAGTACTGCTGTTCCTAGCCTAACAGGTTTCACCACTGCCTAGGTTGACTCCTTTCTGACCTTTTCTATCCAAAAATTTGGTGAATTCACTAGACCTGTAGACATTTCTAGAGTATGCTTTTTTCCCCCGTACTGGTAGTCAACTATCATAATTATTGATTAACGTCACCTTTATTTGCAACTGCTATTACAATGTTTTGGGTTATATATATTCAATCTTCCTGAATTTTTCTGGATATTTGTAGAAGGATTGAATAAAAATTAAAGTAATTGAATTACAAAATTCTCACTACAAATATGATTGCTTGTATTCTTTCATTCTAAATAAAGATTCCATAAGAAAATTATTCACATTTAGTAAGAATTGTCTGTTTCTGTGATTCTGTGCTAGAATATGCTTGCTTCTGATTTTTTTTTTGTTAGTTTGTTTTTTCTGGTTTAAATATTTGTTAATAGCTTTTAGAGTTCTCTGGGGGCACTTAATTCAATAACTTATGATTTAGATGCCTGATAAATCATGAGATTCAGGGTTTATTATTAGTTGTATAAAAACTCCCTCTGGAAGAACTGGCTTGTAAATTTTCTTAAACAAGTGGTGTTACATTCATTATTTTTATTAATGAGAGAGAACTCTTATTTCTCATGTTTTATAAGGGGACTCATTTTAATTTGCATGTTGATTTTGGTTATTGAAGTAGAGAGTTACATCTTATGATTAAATTGTATAATTTAAAAGAAGTCTCTAACCCAAATATTTCAGTATTAATATTTTGTCCCTTCAAAGAATAGAAAGTTAATCTGACATGCCATACCCTACACCTTGAGAGAAACAAAATATGTACTCTATACAATCAAAATTCATCTATTTTATCTATTTAAATATTTTCCTTAGTCTTTACCAAATGTATATTTTGAATGGGTTGTTCTTTATGTATTAAGATTCTTATAATTTTGATGACACAGTGGACAAAATATTTTTTAACTTTTAATTTTTTTTTTTTATTTGATTTTTTCTTCTTCCTTTTAGGGTAGAGCCTGGATCAGAGTAGCACTCATGGAAAAACATTTATCTGAATACATCTCTACAGCTCTGAGAGACTTCAAAACAACCAGGTTTAAAAGTCCTTTTAATTTTCTAATACATATTTGAAGTATCACCTAAAGACTTAGGAATCAGAACAGAAGAAATCATTTAGCTTCTAAAGTCCTCAACTATTTTATTTCCTCCTTTTCTTGCTATTCAGATAAATCCACTGTCTTCTTAGGAAAATGTAATTTGTTAGCTAAACATACACCCACCTTGGTTTATGTAAAAAGATATACATTATGCCTGGAATATCCTTTTTCTGAATCATTTCTGATTCTTACTCTTTCAACACTTGAAGTTTCATTCTCCCCACAGACTTTTCCCTGACAGATTTGAAGAAAGATCTAACTATGAAATTCCTGTCGCATCTTTTCTCTTTTCACTCCACAATATTTGCTTATTTCTTTGCTTGTAAAGAATATAAATGAACCACTTACTTCTTTAATTCATATATATAATTAGTGATTGCTTGATTGTCTTTTTAGGGCAGTCTATACCAATGTTTTTCTTGGACTGTGTAGATTTAAGGGATAATATACTGTGCCACATGAAAAATAGGACTTCATTAATTTTTTTTATGATGGTAGGAAAAATGTTCATATTAGGACAACAGTCATTCCTATTTAGTTCTTGTCTACTGATGTGTATTTGTTGCTGTTGAAGCAACCCCTTTTCTCCATATCAAAAATATTTGAAAATGAAAATATCCAATAATCTCAATACCTTAGACATGAACTGTTCAGAATACCAGCCACTAACACATGCAATATAAATTAAAATTAATGTTACATAAAATTACAAATTTAGTTTCTCAGTTGCTATATCACATTTCAGGTGCTCAATAGCCACATGTGGCTAATGGCTACCAAATTGTACAGCACAAAAGGTTCTATTCGGCAAAACTGCCTCAGATACTTCTCAATTACCATTCTTATTTCTACCTCATTAATCATATTTCTCAAAGAGCAGAAAATAATCACAACTATAAACTAGTTTTGGTAGAGAAAATTAGCACAAAGAAATCATATATCTGAAATCTTAAATTCCATGTCCTAATGCAGAGTTCGACATTCTGGATTTTGAGAAAATCTGGGCATTTACTATGACACATTCTTTCAACTAAGTTGCTGGTATTAATTGCAGTGTTTTACTTAGCTTCCTCTATCTTTGTAGGTAATACAATAGTAAACTTAATTTGGTAGATACAGAGAAAAGAATTAATTGTGATTATAAATTTGACCAGGATAGACTTTTGGCTCCAAGAAGTATTTGCATAAAACAAATGCCATTGATACATACTTATTGAGTTCTTTCCAAGCAACATGATACTCTTGGGATATTTCTGATGATAAACTCTTAGATGTTTGAAATGAACCTTATCAAATGAAACATTTGTTTATTGATAATCACTAGTAAGTTTAATTATGAAAGGTAATAAGTATTGAGGATACTGAGGCTTTGAACATAAAACTAGAGCATAGTATCAGAATCTAGTAGATCAAATCTAAAAATCCTAAATTAAATCAAAATCACAATTACACAATAATCATCTCCTGTGAAATTACAGTGTTACATCAAAATTGTGATAGTCTTTTCTAAATAGAAATTCAAGCATTAATAATCTCTCTAAGTTGTTAGTCTTGTTTCTTAGTTTAAATGACAGGGTGGAGTAGAAATAATAGATTATTTTTAGAACAAGTAGTTTAAATATTTAAGGGGAAATGCTTTTTGTCTTGTTCCTAGGTTTTAGCCGTGATTTTTCATAAAAAGGAAATGATTCAGCTTTCAAAAAGTTCATGAAGTAAAAATATTCTCGTAACAATATATAAAGATATACTATTCAACAGAAACGTGGCTTAGCATATGTTAACATATATGTATATAATACATAAATATATGCACACACATATATAACGTTTATACATACATATTTATCTGAATAACAGTATTTAAATGTGAATATAATGGCCTTGTAATTCCCAAGAAAGGAAGTAAGTAGGGAATTATTTCAGAGTTCTCATCTTAGAAGTTAACTAAAAAAAGTTGTGAAAAAACAATTTTTTTTTACTGTTTATACTTTTTAAATTAAATAAAATGAAAGAAACTTCTTAATTCTAAATAAATTTGATTACAAATCTCTAGCTAAAAGAAATATATTTGGGAGATTTGTAAAATATAAGCAAACAATTAAAGTATTTGTACCTTACCTTTTATCTGAATGCTTCCTGAGGTGAGTGCTTGTAGAAGGATGAGAAATGAGCTCTAATCCTTTAGGAATCTTGAGAGTATCTGAATCAAGTGGATTTCTTCTTGTTCTGCTCTTCACAGATAAAGAATAATGATATTCTTTAAAATGGTGATACAAGTGTTTACCCCAGTACTGGAGGAGGAGCTACATGAACTAAGGCAGGCAAGCTTGAAAGCACTAATCAGTGAAAATCCAAGGGTAAATTTGGGTGGAGAAGGGTGGGAAATAGAAGTACAATGAAGTTTCCTCTTTGAGTACATGACTACATGACTGTGGCTCCAAAGTATTACATAAATTCATGTGATCTTTTTGCTAGGGTGGAAGATGTCTTGGTGAGCAATTGGAAAAAAAAAAAAACAAAAAACAACCTTGAAAATCATGGTTTAGGGATGGGGTGTTATTAGGAAATAGCCAAAGGGGCGTTGACAGAGTGAAGATAAGAATCTAAGCTAACAACAACAAAAATAGAGAATTGTTTCGTTAGGTTACTGGGAAGATCTATAAATGAAAAGTAAGTTAAAAACTGCATTAATTTGCTCAAAGTTTTCATTTCTCTTTACTCACAGACTAAAAAATAATTAGAAAATTTAAACTAAAAACTACAAATGATATTTGAAAAATATGGAAAATGTTCCAGGAAGAATTTGGAGCAAGAAATATAGAAGAATTCAAAGTAACAAATATGGAAAATATAAAGATAAAATTAGCTTTATGGAAATCAATTTATTACTTTGTAATTATACCACACTATTTAAGTTATAATGACAAAAGTTGTGTTCTGAATAATGTTAATTCTTACAATATTTTAGTAAAAATGAGGGAAGATGTAAAATATAAAATAAAACTTAATAAATTTCTGAGCTGTCACAAAGAGAAAAAATGAATTGGTAAATACTTTTCTCAATTATAGGAAAGTATATAGAATAGTGATAAGTTACCAAAATATTTTAAATGCTAAGAATGAGTTTTGAAATCTGAATATGCTTCCAAGTTTTATATTATTAAGATAAAAAAAATTATTAAAAGGTGCTTATAGACTTCTACCTCACAGCATATGCAAAAACTACAAATGAATTGGACTTAAATTTAAAACTCTCATAAGAAAACATAGATGTAAATTTTTGTTTGGATTATACAGTGTTTTCCTAGGTATGATATCAAGTGTAGTAAGAACAAAAGAAAATGTAGATAAATTGGATATAATCAAAATTAAAATTTTTATGTTTCAAAGGATACCACTAAGAAAGTGAAAAGATGACTTGAAGAATGAGAGAAAATTTTACAGATCATGTATCTGATAAGGAACCTTGTATCTAGATTGTATATAAAGAACTTTTGCAACTCAGTAATAAAAAGACAACCCATTTATAAATAATCAAGGAATCTGAATAGATATTTCTCCAAAGAAGGTATACAAATGGGCAACAAACACCAAAATGTTGATCAACATCATTAGTCATCAAAGAAATGGAAATCAAAACCGTCATGAAATACCACTGCATACCAACTATTATTAATAGGATGGCTATGTTCAAAAGATCACTTGATAACAAATGTTGGTGAGGATTTGGAAAAATTGGATCTCTCGTACATTGCTAGTAGGAAAGTAAGATGGCACAGCCATTTTGAAAAACAGTCTAGCAATTTCTCAAAAGGTTAAACGTAGAGTTACCGTATGACGCAGCACATGACTCCTAAGTATACGTGAGTGTATATCCATACAATGGAATATTATTCAGCCATAAAAAGAAATGAAGTACTGATACATAGTATAACATGGATGAACCTAGAAAACATGCTAAGTCAAAGAAGCCAGCCACAAAATACCAGATAGTATGTGATTCCATTTATATGAAATGTCCAGAATAAGTAAATCTATACAGAAAGAAAGTAGGTTGGTTTCCTGGGCTTGAGAGGGTGGATAGCTCTAGGGAAAATGGGGTGTAACTGCTAATGGGTACATGGTTTCTTTTGGGGGTAATGAAAATATGATAAAATTGATTGTGGTGATAGTGGTACAACTCTGTGAATGTGTGAGAAACCATTGAATTGTACTTTAAATGTACTTTAAATGGGTGAATTGTATTATATGCGAACTAAGCAGTTTTTTAAAGATTATAAGGCTTATTAAAGTTATACATGAGACTTTTATAATTGAAGGAAGGAAGAGAAGTGAGTTCCACTGTTGCACAGGGAAAACATAAAATCTCAAATGTAGATTATCGCTAGAATAGTTGGTTTTAAAAGTTCTGATTAATATTTAACTATTATCTGTTTCATCCATACAAATAATTTTTGACTTAAATATCTGAAAGCTCTTTTAACAAATTTTTTCAAAAACTTGTTTTTAAATTTGCATACAAGCAATAATTCCACATATGCTTGGAAACAAGAAAAAGTTTTATGATATATTTGGCATTATTCTATTGTAAAAATAAGAATAATCTTGTTCTTCCATACAGATGTGTGACATAAGAGTATTAAGTGTTCTAACTGCCCTTAAAAAGTCGCTATTTCAAGAGAACTAGATATTTCCTTTAACCTGTTAGTACAAGACCTCCTTTTGTTTTTTGCTTTCTGATATCTGATTAAATTTCTTAGCTTATCTTTGCTCTGTCATCTCTCCCTTCCTTTCAACCAGTCTTCATTTTGTGTCTACTTCTTAAGAAAACAGTTACTCCTAGTACCTCCTAAAGGGAATGAAGTTTCTGTATAGGTTCTCTTTTAAAGTAAAACTAGTACCCAAATAATGAAATACAGCCAGTTGTTTTTCATAGT